GGGGCACAAGTAATTGTTGGAGGGAGGTGCCTAGATATTCCACTGTCCGTACCCTACTTACTGTATAACAATACACTGTACTGAGCAATAATTTAATACGATGTTTTATACATCAGGAATTTTTTTTTAATGACAAATAACTTTAAATCATTCCAAGTCAAATTTCCCCCTGTGGTATAAGCCTGATTTTTTGTAAGTGTAAATTAATGAGATTAATTACACATACATTCATTATATTGACTTATTTATAAATTTACACCTCTTTATGTTTTAGGCTAGTCCCTATGTGTACATTATGTCTGCATTTTACATTCTATCTTTGTTAATTTAATGCCGGAGTTACAGTATGTCCCGCTTCTGGTGTTTTCAGAATAGGCATATCTTCTATCCATTGCTAGGCCTGGATCTCGACAGCCAAAATCTTGCTGTTAAGTCTGGGATTTACAGCAGTGGAAGGACCTTTCTAATCTAAATGCTGTTGGAGCTGTTTGGAAATTCAAAAAGTAAATGTGGCAAAGACAAGCAAAACCAGTCACTCGTCGCAAATTCTGTTTTAGAGAAAATGGCCAAAACATGCTGGAATGTCAACTTTTTTAAAATCTTGCGCTAAACTAACCCTATCTATATATTAATAATCATGCTATGCTGTCATTTTCTCCATTTTCAATGTTAAAACAACAATTTTTATCGATTTGGAAATTCCTGAAATCATATACTTAAAAGGCTGATTTCTCAAATATTGTTCTTTTAACACCTGTGTATTTAAATTACTTTAACTTCATAACAAAATTTCGGATTTTAATGATTCTTCTCTACCATTTTATATCTCTCCTTTTACTGTTGAACACTGTATTAATAACTAAAAATCTATTTTTTGCGACGAGTAACTGCTTTGGCTTGTCTTTGACACATATTATTCTCAATATACCAAGAAGGCCTACTAGACTTTCAATGATTGTTATAAACATGTTGGTGGTCTCATGATAAAAATATTGCATCTTATCCTTACATTCCTTAATATGTGTCACAAGATTCAATGTATTCGCTATGTCTCCCTCAGTAAGTAATACCCTGGCTTTAATATAAAGAACAATCATGATTGGATGACAAACAAGTGTCATTTTATTGGAACATTTGACACAGTAAAGGAAAATTTCATCAACAGCCCAGCCACTAAACGGGCTTGACCTAGAAGGGCGTGGTGAATCTACCTGTAAAATAATTCGACTACTAAGCCTACAGTTGTTTTCTATGAGACAAGAATCCAGTAGTATAGAGTCACACATCTGCTTCAATTCTTTGTATTTCTCCATTATATAGTGATATTGTATTACAAGGACTCGACCACCTATACCATAGTCACTGCAATTGTCAGGAAAAACCATTTCACTTCCTAGGTTATAGTAATGCAATAGCTTAGTCTGATAGAGTGATCGAGCTGGAGCTTCATCGTCACTGTTTCTTAAGCTTACCAATAAATGAGCATAAATATCGCCTAAGTATCTATACAAACTTGTCTTGAACATTTCCCCATATCCTTTCGGCAATATTTCTTCAATATGCTCAATAATTGGTAATATGACTCTTTCTGGAATACTGAGAGTTATCAAAGGATTCCAAGTCATGAAGTTCAAAAGGAAATTAGTTATATAAGGATGGTTGTAACCTTGTAATTCGTAATTCACTTGTGAACAAAGGGATGAGTGTAAATACGAACATATGTATTCAATAATTACCTCTATAGCCTTTGAGTAGATTAAGAGTTTGCTCTCCAGTGCTACATCTCCATTGTCTATTGTAATCTTGAATGCATCACACATGCATTTTAATGCCACGTGCCCATGAATACCACCATAAACACTTCCTAACACTTTCGTCCAAAGATTTCTCTTAACTGCTGTCAATTTTTCTTTTACGTTATCACAACATTCTCTTGACAGATGACCGATCAAGTTATGTTGGGGAATAAAATAATGCGGTAGATCTTTTTGTTGGTAGCAGTCAATGAGCCAATCTAGAACTTTTCTAATTAAATCCATGACACTGTAATCTATGTGTGAAAATGTTTCACACATCCACAAGCAAGCGGTCTTTATGAAATATGAGCAGAATGGTGTTGGTTTTTCTGCATCACTGTATACGATGTACTTTTTCTTAATTAATTTCAGGGCAAGCATGCAATTAGCATGTGGCTCAAACATTTCAGTAACCAGCTCTCTCTCAGCTATGCTAAATGACAACCTCCATTCAATATCATCTGACTTGCTACCTGGATACCCAACAGGAACTACATGACATTCTAGACCTTTGACCTTGTCTAACAACTTCTGTGATGGCCAGTTGACCTGCCTTATTCTGGTAAAAAAGTTGCTTGTGAAAGGAGGCCATGATTGACATTTCAAGCAAGGTACTGTGTCTGTGGGACATGTTGAAAGATCCAGAAATTCAGAATTGTATTCTCCTGCTATTGAGGGGCCATGTCTCATCTCAATATTATAGTCCTCCCCTTTATTCAAAGGTTCATATGGATAATTAACTTTTATGAAATCGCTGGTTTTCAAATATCCATCCTTATTAATTATACTAATGAAATCCTTATCCAGACATCCTCTGTCAACTACCTTAAGCCTCAGATACACATGCTGATTTGGATCTTGCTCAGCAATTACGTATGTATTTTCTTTTTCTTGAGATTTCCACAATACTATTGGGAATGCTTTAATACATACCATCGCGTCCCCATCACTTGTGGCCGAAATAGGAAAACCTTCTTGTTTACTTCCAACTAAGTCCACATGCCATGGCCAATCAAGCCATATTGATAATTGTTCAAACACTTTATGGGTGATCCTAGATGATGAAATTCTATCCAATCTGCCATTCATTTCTAGTCTGATGATTTCATAGGCAAATTTGTCCATTGCTTGATGTATGTTTTTTTGGTCTGTCATGGTTGAATTTTACTTGCCTTCATTAGGTTAACAAACAGTATATGTAATATCTAATTAATAACACAACCATACTGATATGATGATTACTGATTTATGCTCTGCCTGTTGGTTGCTAGGTTTACTGAGACAGCATTTAATACAATGAGATTTGGACTTTGATTCTACTCTCTGGTACATGCCTATATTTGGTACTGTATGCAAATAAAGTTGGTCCCATTGCAAGTTGTTTTATTTATTTATGTGATGATAATATCATTTGAACATTTAAGTATGCTGTTTTAATAGATTGTTTTGGCCAACCCCAGTTCTAAATAAATAATTAAAAGAAAATCATAATGATAATAATATAGTAAATAGTTAATAGTTAAATCAAACCCATGACATGCATGTTGGAATGGCGAGTTGGATGGCCGAGCGGTTAGTGCAGGGCGCCGCAACCTACAGCCAAAATATCGGCCCTGGTTCAAAGGGTACGCTGGTGTATGGTTCTGGTGGTGACACAAGTCTTATATAAGGACTATAAACTGTAGGCCCAGTGTACACAATTTGGTTGGAATGCACTTAAAACAACCCAATATGTACATCATTCGAGATGATTAGGGGGTTACCCCGGTGTATTAGTCCATACAGCCCCTGTTGTGGACAGACGAGAGTAGCTAGTGCCGGTTTTCCGGGTAGCTTAGGCATGAAAAAAGTTACTGTGTGGGCTAACCCACAGCGCTTTGAAACTCCGCTATATAAATCAAATTTATACATTATTTTACATTACATACCACATGTGTGTGATGTGATTTATTGCTATTGTCATTTGTTATTTTTCCTTTCATGGTTGAGCTGAGGAAGTGGAGTATTTTGGTTTGTTTCGTCACAATGATAACCCACTTGTTTCCAGTAGGGTCCTTCTGGTGGTGAATTGGGTGGTACTCCAGGAGGCAATCCCTACTCTTTTCCAAAGAGTGTACTGCGTTCTTTAACCTGCACATGAGCCATATTGCACATGGGACTAATGGCTTAAACACGCATCAAATCGTAACTTGTATTTCAGCCCTCTAACTGAAACACAAAGAAAGCAGTGATGGGAATTGAACCAGGGACCGGATTTATTTATTTATAGGGACCTAGAATTCAGCTTAAGTTCATCTTAAGTCTATTTTTTTGCTTAAATCAAATTTATCACTATTGCCTAAAACTTAAAAATTGCTTAAAACTTAAAAATTGCTTAAAATTAAAAAGTTGATTGTATGCATGAACCATCTAAGACGATTTTAAGCTAAGATTTTGCTAAGATGGTTTGATATTGACTTGCTTAATATTTAACTTAATATTGACTTGTTTAAATTCCACAATCATAACATAACCAATAATTACTTAGATATTATTTTAACTCATTCATTTTATCCAACTGTTTCCAAAGCAACTCGTATTACTTCAAACACTGCAACACTAATAGACCACTTTTATACTAATGAAACTGAATCTAGTATAGTCT